CGAGCGAACAAATGACATTTGCTTGTTGCTGCGTTTGTGTCGCATCGACCCGCACTCGGTGAAATCGCGCGGATTGATTGATCCTATACACCATAGTATATACTAGCGGGCAGCGTCAAACGTGTGTTTACCTACCGAGTTTCGCGGGCGTGTTTGCAATCGAAGGGAGGAGAAAAAAAAACAAAAAAAAAAAAAACATCTGAAAAGGCGACTTGCAAGATCTAACCAGACCAAGGCAAAAAAGGCATGCAAAAAATTTAAAGAAAAAAAAAGAGAAACGGTTTTGGAGTGCTCTCGCCTGCATAGCCAGAGGCAACCAGGATGCAACCGTGATGAATGGTACAACATCGCAAAATAAATCTTGTGTGTCGTCCAGATGTAGTGTGCATTCCAGTAATGGCAGGTTAATGGCAACAGAATGACTTCCACTCCGTGGGAATGCAGCACTCGAAACATTTGTCACGCATTTGATGGTATACATTCGTTTTCGTCTACAAAACCACCTTCTCCCCCCTCCCCCCAAGTATTCCATTTATACTGATACTCCTTTGCTTGTGCCGAAAATTCAGCTGGAAGGATATTGCTTGCTGATGTCGCTAGTATAAATGAAGGGTAGATTAGTGCCAGTAGGCTGCTTGATAGCAGCCACATGAAATAAAAGGAAATGCGCGGAAATTGTGGCATTGTACATGTCATGCTTGTGGTCACTATGCGTAGTGTTCATTCTTGTGAATGATATGAATATCTCATCAGCGGACCGTGCAGGGCTGCCGTCAGGGGCTACCTTGCACCTAATTGGCCACATTACGACCCTGTCTGGCGACGAAAATTTCAAGTTGCCTCCATGACTACGTGCTGGCTACTTGGAACTTATACATTGGCACACCTACCAGCTATTTTTTTTATTAGTTAACAATATGATAGAAAAAATTAAATGACGTATAGCCATTGCTTTGAAACCTTTTCCAAGCTATGCGTCGTTTTAGCACTTTGTCAGACCATTTACTGTTCTATCATAAAAGCCCTATTTATAGTTTTGCTTATGCTCAATTTGGCTGCAAGTATGGCGATAAAATTAAACAGCATGGCTACTTTGGGTACTGCAGTTTTGTGTCCTTTTCAAGTCTACCAAATAGGCAACTCTGGCCCGACCGTGACACCCAATTTCCTACCGTAATCTTTGTTATGTATATAGGTGAATCCTTTCGCGTTCATTAACTAGTGGGCGAAACTTTAGCGCATTTGGTTGAACACTTAATTAGTGATCGCACATTCTTTATGAACAAGTGAGCGGCCTGAAAATTGGGCAACGCTGGCCCACTCGCGAGCCGCGTGACGTAACAAGCTGCTTGCTGTGCGGGCGTCTGCATTCTGGCGAACGACTTGTGTTCCGTGCTCAGCTGCGCATGCAGTCGAGCTATTTCAGATTCGTTCAGCCTGACATAGAAATTGAGCGACTTGGAGTGGGTGTTAACTTTAGTGGAAGATCACCGTTCCGCTCCATGCAGCACGTGACGTCACACACGCCGTGCCAGAATGGCGGCCACCAGTGGTGGGCGGCGTTAATCCAGAAATAAAGTGTTGAGAGCAGTTTAATCCAGTTTGAAAACTCGGTTGGCCACCATAACTTGGTGGTGTTTCGCGGTGGCGCTGCAAGCGGTGGTTGGAAGTAGCGCTGGTGTCGCAGCGTGCGCCGCATCCTGTGTGTGTCTAGCTGTGGTTGTGCTCAGTGTTCTTAAAACTGGTTCACGTGTTGTATTACAATGGCATGAAAAATGAAGCGTTTTCGTGTGTTGGTGTGATCCACGTAGCGTGAATGTTATAGTTCGCCTGCAATGCCGACTTGTTGTGTGCCTGGATGCACATTCCTGAGACACCTATGCGCTCCACGTGATCTGGCTCACTGTGCAGTATGGGATCATGCTGTTTATTCTCTTTTCTAACAAAAAGCCGTCGCTAAAATCGAAAGTTCACGATGTGCATTTTCATGCCGAGGACAACTTAATTGAAGATGTACAACCACGTTGTCGACGGGAAAGAAGTTTTAATCGCTCGCGGTAATAATCGAAGGGGACTCTTGTGCAGGGAAGTAGTTTTTCCTAACCTAAGTGTACCAAATCTATGCCCACTATTCTGAACCAACTTCGGCTCCAACAAAGAAACGCGCCCTCCCGCGGCCGGGATCCAGTCAGCAGTCGACCAGCATGACCACCAGACCATGACCTGGGCTGTGAAGTATTAACCCTGCAGAGTATAAGCTGCGCACTTTGCTCGAAGCTGAACCTCTCGAGCTGGCGAAAAATGCGGTCCCGGCTGGGTTTGATTGCTATCTGAGTGTGTCGTGATACATGCATAACTTTCTCATTCGCTTGCGAGGGTTGACTTCTGCGAATGCGCTGTGCCGCATAGTCGATCTGCATGGCTTCTTCTTGGCGTCTGCGTTGTGAGCAGCACTTACAGCAGAACTCGCGTGGCCCCGACGAAATTGTGTCGTTACGTATTTTTGCAGTAGCTACACGAACCAGGCCCGTAGCCAGAAGGTGGGGGGAGGGGTTACATAGCATAAATAACGAAAATAAACAGTTTTCAAGGTCGCCCCCCCCCCCCCCCCCGAAAAACTGCCTGACCAGAATCTTTGGAGTCTTCCACGTTCGCTGAAAAAAAAAGTGTGTCGTCAAAGCTGCTTGGTTTGTCATTCAAAACTGGACTTGATGAGAACCGCCACGTACGCCGAGCACTGGGCACCTACTCTAGTTCCCGTGACATCGAACACCTTCTAACGCGCTTTCAAACATTCTTGCTAATGTAATAAACTTTCAAGATTATTTAAAAAAAAGGCTAGCGATTCTCACCCTTGCGTTTTCAAGCAATTAAAATATCTTCGTGGATAGCAGATGCATGCAGCATGCGCGACGTTCTTCGTCGTCTGCTACGTGGAGCCTGTCGCTGCAGTAGCGCCACCTGTACCGGAAGTTAGTTATGTGCCACTTTCAGAGTACGGCGGAGAATTCGGCAACTGAACAGGTTTTATAAACGTTGGTATGCGACTTAATTCTAGGACTCATTTGGCACTAAGATATTCTTTTACAGTCCACTTGATATATTCATATAGGCACTACCCGGTCCTTCTATTTTTCACTGAAGACCACAGATTCTTGGGTGCCAACATAAAAAAAAGGACGTGAAATCTTAAGACCAGCCATTAAAAGTGAAACAGGATCATGCTGGAAATTGAGCTTTGTCAATGGAGAACGAAGGGCGCGGGAGGGAAAGGGGGGATTCGAGGAGGTTGGCTTATTGACGCTGGGCGCTCGTGCTTGTCAATTTTAATTTTTTTTTCTATGGGCCCACCAAAAAGGAAATGAAGCAGGGAGGGGCATCATTGGAAATGAGCACGAACGTGAGGAGCAAGTGACATTAGGGAAGGTTGGCTTGTGGATTCTAAGAGAAGGCAAAGGTATGAGGGTGAGACAGAAAACTAGGTGGGCATATGCAATTAAGTAGTTTGCAGTTATTACGTGGAAGCAGAAAGCATAGGACTCGGTTGATTGGAGGGACATGGGAGAGGCCTTTGGCCTGCAATGAGTGTAGTTCGGCTGATGATGATGATGATGATGAATTGTGGACGCTAGGCGCGCGCTGCCTTTCATTTTAGGGGCAAAGCTCTTTAAAGGGGCCCTGCAACACTTTTTGAGCATGGTCAGAAAACGCTGCCGATCAGTAGTAGAGGCTCCCGACAACACACGAGCCAAATATTATAGCGCAGCACGCCGCCTGGAATTCACAATAAATGATCAAAGTAATCAAATAATTGCTTTCTCTTCTCTAGACAAATCACGGAACACGCTCAAAAATTACTCCTAAAAAGCCCATCTATCAGCTATTGGCTGATTTGAACGTGACGCGCTAGGTATATATCGCCGGGGAGGCTGCAACTTGTCCACGCGTGCGTGCTCGATCACACTGAAAAAATTGTGAATTCAAAAAAATAATAAAAGAAGTGTTCAAGGTCACGAAGCGTGCGTGACGTAATTTCTTTGCCCTTGCCATCCTCCCCGTCGCGGTGGTATAGCGGCTAATGAACTCGGCTGCTGACCCACAAGTCGCAGGATCGAATCCTGGCTGCGGCGGCTGCATTTCCGATGGAGGCGGAAATGCTGTAGGCCCGTGTGCTCAGATTTGGGTGCGCGTTAAAGAACCCCAGGTGGTCAAAATATCCGGTGCCCTACACTACGGAATCTCCCATAATCATATGGTGGTTTTGGGACGTTAAACCCCACATATCAATCGCCCCTGCCATCCTTTCCTGCTTAGCTTCCAGTGCTTTCGTTGGGACGAGAGGAGAGAGAATGCAATTGCAGCATGCGACAAATCTTTGTAACTCCACTCGCACTGGACGGATTCTTAGAATATTAGCGATGTTGAATTCGGGAGGCAATAAGCTCTTTCAGTGAATGCATTCCATGGTTACTTGAAAAAGTTTTTCAGGGCCCCTATAAGATCGAGGCTTGCTCCTTGGCGTGCCCCGTAGCCGTGATGACGATAACGCTGATTATCATGAACGACTGGCTTCTGCAGCATTTTATATCTCGATATGCTGTACCATGCATTTCGTATGACTGGAAACAGCCAACAACCATTAGGGGAACATGCACAGATCTCGTCATTGCCAACTTCTGGCTAGATTAGTTACCACAAAGCAGTAATAATGAAGGCAAAATGAAATTCACACCTCAACACAATGTACCATTCATGGCCATATGCCATGCTATTTACGTCCATATACCGTGTATATAACTGTAAACCGCTTTGTCACTAATTTACACGCGTGAGTGGTCAATGTAGCGAGCGATTTACGATAACACCGAACGATCCTAGTGCTTCACCCACTCATCATCATTCACTTTGCGGATACGCCGTGTTTTCTGTTTGTTTGTTTTTTCCTTTCCTTCATATGTGCTAACAACAATACTGACTGTTCTCATGCTGTTTTTTGACAGGTGTGTGCCTTTCTGCTGCCGATTGCAAAGCCAAGCCACTGAGCCTGCTTGGAGGGCTCATGCGGCGCACAGCCTCCCTAGACGCCATCTACTTGTCTGCACAGTGGCCGCGGGATCTGCACAGCTACTGCGGCCGCCCCATGGTTGACAGGGCCACACAGGCACGTCTTCTTCCTTTTTGAATAACCGCGAGACAGGCCATGCTACTTCGCCACATGCCTTGGGTGCTTGTAGCAATGAGTTATGCTTGTAAAATGCCTATTTTTTTGACACACTATTGTGGGTTATAGTATGCACCTATATGATCTATTGTCGCACATTTTTACTTGCACTGAAGTTATATTTAATATTTGCTTTAGCTCGTATTATGCTGCCTGCGTCAGCAGCCATTGGAGGAGTAGGTGACCATTGTTGCTTCTGTCAAGTGCTAGATTCATTCTGTAATTCACCTTTTTCACGCCAAAGGCACTTCACTCGTGGATATTTGTCAGTTGACAGAGGCGTATGGTGTTATGATCGGCACATGGGCTGAAGGGGGAGCGGCATTTCCTGTTTTTTGAACAAGTAACTGTAGGGCTGCTGGCCGGTTGACAGCCGCCGTCTGAAGGCGTGTTGTGGGGTCACGGAATGAGACATGCTCTCTGGCACAGCAGGCGCTGTCGAAGCAAACCAAATACCTGTACATTTATTCAAGTACTTTTACAAAGGGCGGTATCGTCAGTTGAATTAAACATGTCATTAGTGTTGCACTAAAAAAATGATCTTAATAGTTTTATTTCAGCATCAACAGGGTGGAATACAACACTGGTGACGCTACAAGGGGCTAGCAAAAAGCATCGAACGGCTTGACAAAGGCCAGCATCTCGTTTACAAAACTATACAAGGCAAAAACAACAGTGGACAATGAAATAAGTGTTAATAAGCAAAAGCCTATAAGCATAGCGATGGCTTATAAGCACAATTCTCAATTTATATTTAGATGACAGGGCTAAAAATTATAGAGGCACAAATCGCTCTTGCTACACTAATTATGGTTTATCTTATTAGTGGAGGAGTTAAGAGCCTGTGGCAGCAAGTACATAAGCATTTAGTGGCAATTAAAAATTGGCCATAGTTTGCACGGGTGTAGGGGACGTTCCAGGTACGACTGGATCATGTAACGTATGTTTTTGAGATAGGAGTTAGGGCGGTGAGTTTCTCTAGACAAGAGTTAGTTTTCTGGTATGCATCATAAAGTTTCAATAGAAGTGTATTGAACAAGTTTGGCAATGATTTTGCGCCAAGATTTTCAAATACAGGCTTTGTGTGGGTATCATATTGTTCAATGGCGATGATTCTCACAGCTTTTTTGGGCAGGCGCTGGATTTTGGCAAGTTTGTGTCGTTATGCTCCATACCAGATATCCATATGTTAATACAGATGAGAAAAGGGAATTGTATAAAATCATTTTGATGTGCTTTGGTTGAAAGTGAGAAAGGCATGTTAGAATACCCACTATTTGCGAAAGTTTGGAGTAGACAAGATTAATGTGTACATTCCATTGCATCTTTTCTTCAAAAAGAGCACCCAAGGATTTTATTACTGGTACCAGTTCTATTACTGGAAGACCAAGGTGCAGGATAATATTTGAATTAATTGGCTTCTTTTAAGGCAAAACAGAACTGCTTTTGTCTTTGAAGCAGAAACATTTGCAGTTAGGGAATCGACCTGACACTACGTATTCAATATATTGAGCACCTCACTTGCTTTTTTTGCAAGCAGAGGGAAACTGTGATGTGTCATAAATAAGCTGGTGTTGTCTGCATAAATTACAAATATTGAATTGGTGTTTGTATATAGGTTGAAAAGCAGGGGGCCAAGAATGCTTCCCTGAGGAATCCCATGTAGTAAAGGTTTAAAAGGTCATGCTCCCAGGGAGCAACATCATTCTAGCGGCGTCTGGCAGCCAATAAGAAAATTATCGCTGTTCCACTTGGCAAGGAAAGTTAGCCACGAGTTATGCATATAAGCATATGTAAAATCAGTTAAAATAATGCATTTTTTTTTTCAGAGGTGTTAAACAGAGGGTGTGCACTTGACATACAGTGCATCTCAAGGTGATCAAATGTTGTTTTGTGATACCTTAATATATTTGCCATTACCTTGATTAATATCTGCTGCTGTCTTATTTTCCTCGTGTTTCCATCCTGCCAACACGCTGTAGGTCTTCTCCTCTCATATTGTAGTAGTGAAGAACATTCTTGCTACTATCATAGGAAGAAATGTACACTTCAGTTCTGCTTGAAACATTACTTTCTCTTTTTTCTTGTACTACAGAACAGAGAAACTGTTCATTGTGCCATTGTTAATGGTAGTGGAGTATGACACTTCCAGGGGGCAGGTAGAAGGTTTCTAGCAGCTTCCTGTAGATGCTGCGGGTCTTTTTTGCTACTAACAGAGCCACACTTTAGTGAGCCGTGCAGCTATAGTCAGGCATCGTGATACGAATAAGAACAAACACTAAACAGAGCTACGGAGGCCAGTTATTGTTTTTCTTCAACTTGCAGACTCCTGATGACTGGAAAGAAGTGGAGAGGATGAAATTTGTTCAGAAGAAACCTGCTTTGCCTTCGGGTGACTCTCTAGAAATGAAGGTAAGTGCTTTTGTTATGGTCATACTTTTGGGCCATGTGAATAAAGTGACAGAACTCAACTGTAGATGAGTCACAGCCGACTGTGTTTAGTTGGGGTAGGAAACTGGCACTTGATTTAATGTATGCAGTTGAATATTTGTAAGTTTTTTCTCAGCAATAAAATACTAGCTCCCGGAGGTACATTTGCATGATAATATACAGGATAACTGTTCGAGCACATTCTCATGATAAAGAGGCCCAGGTGCCTTGCATATATGCTGATGGATGCTTTATTATATGAAGGCCTTCTACTACTACATTTTTATTTCTCTGTTATTGTACAGAATGACTTAATCGCCACGTGACAGTTTAGAGCAAACCCAATTGTACGACTCCCGCGTCGCTTCACTTGCTCATTGTACACAGAAGTTTTGTCGTTCTAGAAGCCTTTTTGCTTGGTACTTTCATATATGTACATATGTGATGCCAATTATCCTTTCCTATCACACTAATTAGTGTATTGATTAAGAATTTATGTCATAGCACTTGTTCTAAAAATTTCAAAATTGTATTGTTCAGGCATCAATATGACAGATTACTTGCTACAATTAAGTAACTCTTAAATGTTCTTCGCTAACTTCTCTGTGTGATGAAAGTGTTTCAGTAATGAATGTTTAGTGTTTACAACACTAACAAAGGAGTTTATAACAAAGGAAGTTTTGTGTTGAATGCAATTTTGTTGTACCACTTGTGTGTAGATGGATGTAGTATCAGCCTGTTAAATAAAGCTCCATTCATCAGGCTAGCTCATGTCGTGCAGTATATTCGTCAGCGGCTACAGCGGACGGCCCAAGGGGGGCGGACGTCGCCGCGCTGGAGCCCTGTACAAGGGGACCATCAGCTAGGGCTGGCAGCTTTGTCCCCACCACTGTCCCCGTCCGTAGCACCTCCACCTCCTTCGGGCCCAATCCCCATCCAGGCCAGGCCAGGACGGACGCCCCCAGGGGCTCCCCGCATGCGCAACAGCGTGGAGGGACTGAACCAGGTTCTCTGAATTATGCACTTCGCTTGCACAACATTTGTTCACACTGTTAGGCCATGCAGACGATGCAAATGGATGTGGTTGAAAGCAACACTCAGTGATGGACGTGTAATTTTCCCATTTGTCCAGGGCACAGCTGGCATCGACAGAGATAGATGTGGTGCACAAAATAAATATGCCATTGTTGTGATTAAAATTTGGGAGTTTGTTTGTGCAAGGTTCATTCCAGCTATGTATCAAATATATAGAACAATATTTTGCCCTAAAGGAAGCGGAGGTGGAGAGGCAGTCCTCCTGCCCCTGCGTTACTGACGCTTCTGCTCAGTCATCTTTTTAGATCAGAATACCTGCTAAGAGGTCGAATGTTTTGAAAGAATAGAAGCACCAATGCAAAATGCGAAGCTATAGCCCACATGCAGTGCACCAAATCTGGGCTGTCTAGCGATCCGATCGCCGAAGACATCGCACGAAGCTCCGCGGACGACAGCTTCTGGAGGCGTAGTCTGGGCCGGTGATTCCTTGTTGGATTCTTAATAAAGTTTATTGCCTACCTACCTATCATATAGCATATCTATATTAAATCTACATTGCATTCTCCGAACTCCCATTTTTAAGAAACTAATGCACCATGCCGAGTTCGAAAGCATCTGGCATAGCAATGAAAGTATTATAAGGAATGATGCATTTAATGCAATACCATTAAACACTTTTGTTTAAATTTACCGTCATTTGTGGTTGTGCTCTCTGTATTGCAGGCTGTTTAAGAAGATTCACGCCTTTGTAACTGCTGGGTGCTGCAGGCCAAATGCACTAGAAGACATTAAAGGGGCCCTGCAACATTTTTTGAGCATGGTCAGAAAATGCTGCCGATCGTTGGTTGCGGCTTCTAAGAATGTGCAAGCCAAATATTATAGCACTGCACGTGGCCTGAAATTTACAATAAATTCCCAGTCTGCTAAAAATCACTTCCTCTTCTCTCGATAAATGATAAATGTCGGAATCAGTGCTTCACAGGCTTAAGTATTACGCCATCAGCTGATTTCAGCATGCTAGTTACTGGAGCCACGCAGAGGGCCGCGACACATTAGCACGTGCACCATCCCACTAAGAAGTAGCCCGTTAAAAGAAAAAAAAAAGAACAAAGAAAAATTGCTCAAGGTGAAGAGGCCCACATGATGTACCTTCTTCCTTCGTGCTATCCCCCTCTGCTTAGCTTCCAGCACTTTCCTCAAGATGAAAGAAGAGAGAAAGCAATTGCAGCATGCGACAAATATCTGCAACTCCGCTTGCATTGGACGGATTCTTAACATTTCTTGTGGGAGTCGGTTTGTGAGACAACAAGCGTCATTATTGAATTCATTCCATGTCTACTTAGAAAACTGTTGCAGGGCCCCTTTAAGTTCACCCTTGCACATCCAAATGCACATCTTTGCAACCTGACCTTTGTGAATACTATAGTGAGTCAGTCTATATGGGCAGCGCAGTCATGAACAGCACAGTGCAGTCATGAGGCAAGATAGAATGTATAGATGCAGAGGGCTGTTACATTACATGTTGTCTTTTTTGTACGCTTGTTATGCTGTTGTTTTCTCTTTCTCTCTCTCTATATGACTGCTCACTGGCGCGAATTCGTAGCCGATCATAGATAATAGGACTGGGTTCTGAAAAGACCTTTTTTAAATGCAAAATTTGTTCTAAAATATTTTTGGCACTTGCTACACTTGCTCAGATGAAAATGTAAGGCACAAATGATGAATTAAGATTCACTGCAAGACAGAGCCGTTTGAAGCAGTTATCGCACAAATGATGAATTAAGATTCACTGCAAGACAGAGCTGTTTGAAGCAGTTATCGGTGGTCGAACAAACTACGATTCAATTGAAGTGTTTTGATGGGTCCTCCTGTCAGAATTGCAAGCCGAGCTTCAGCTGGAACATACCCTGTTGAACTACAGTTGAAAGTGTGTGAATAAACGTGCATGTTGCAGGACCCATATTCATTATCCTTTTTGAATGCACATTGTTCTCTTTCTCAAAAAGATTCATTTATGCATTGCCTGGAATAACCAATCTCTTTGCCGAGCAGTACATGTTCAGTTGAAAGCTTCCCTTGGCTCTTAACTCTGGAGCTGTACAACTGACTACTATGTTTACTCGATGAAAAGCTGCATTTTTTAATAGTAAACATTTGTTAAACATATTTTTACGTCCATTTTCTTCTCTGTGTCCTTCAAGGAAATCGAGCGTCTGGTTTTGAAAGGCATCTCGGCATCAGGCACAGAAAACGAAGCAGAACTGGAAAGGGTAAGCACAGACATGCTGCATTTTGTTTGCCAAGTTACGGTTTACATGAATCGGAAAGCGTGTATTTGAGTATACGTGGTAACAATTCTAATTGGCCACCTCACTTCTCTCAGATCTGCCTTACATTAAACGTCCATTGCATTTCACGCTATTTGTATATGCCGTTTACGTTTTGTCTCGGCGTGACTTGTTACTAAATGGAGTTTCTGCGAGGAACTATGATCTCTCACTGCATTCTGCTCTCAATTCACATTCACTGCCGGTGTCTCATTCTATGGTGTCCCCCAACTTTGCTTCTTCTTTTGTTGGTTTTCTGTGTGATTTACTGCTGGGTCAGTCTCATATAGGTGTCACGTGCGGCATGCAGAAGTAGGAGGACATTTTTCGTGTGCTTCCTACACTGCAGGTTATGGGTCCTACGCCGGAAGGGCACCGGGCACCCATTGCAGAACTCTTTCACTCCACCTGCAGTGTGGACACCCAGACGCCAAGCGGCAGTGATGGCAGCAATGGTTTTGTCGATGGTCCTTCCCGCCATAGCTCTTCTCGTCCCGACAGCCTAGGTAAAGGGCTGCCAAAATTTATTCACACTGACTACATTTCCTATGGAACTGTGAAGGTAAAACCGTCTAGTATGTTCTGGTCCCGGCATCATGCAATGTTCTCACTTACTTCCCCTACTCAGTGTTGATGCTGCATGATGTTGTTCAGTACAGTCAAATCCTGCTGCAACAAAATTGGCGGTACGCGTGAAAAAATCATCGGGAAATTCGATCTAGGGACCACAAAATTTGGTAAGATCTGATAATTATGACTCGTTCTTTGGTCCCAACAAGTGCATGCATTTAAATCTCGCTAACTGAGATGTACCTGGCCATACAATGAGTGAAAATATTTTCTTGCATATAACTTGATCAAAATATACAGAAAATTTGGAGCTAAGATCATGATGCGAATTATGCGAGAATTTTGGTGCACAAGTTGGCTTCAGAGCACGACTTTACGGCAATGCAAGGAAGGCGACCTTGCGTCAATACGCGGTTGTTTTTTTTTCTCCCGCAGTTTGTGGTCGTTGTGCCGGTTAAATGCAGGAGTGACTTATAGAGAAAAAAATATGATAATAAGACGACCATTGGAGCCTGCTGAGTGCACAGCGCTGCAAGTGGGCAAGCCAAAGCTTTGCTAGAGGCTAACTGAAAACTGCAACTGAAAGTTTTGAAGCTTGGCACTATGGTAGTCATAAGTGAACAGCAGGAAAGCCGCAATGGCTCGTGTCGTTTCTTTGGCTTCATTATCTTTAATCTAAGGCTTCATTAGCTGCGCACTTTCGGATCGTATTAGGTATAGATGGACGATAGCAACCGCGCTTTTCTGTGCAACGGTTGCGGCGAGCTACTGCCCTGCGCTCACTGTGCGCGTGACTAAAGAACCAAGTCTTTGCTATCTTTGTCCACATCGTTACGGCAAGAAATGACTGGTTGGCTCGGTGCGCGTTGACTGCGCACATACTTTCGTGGTCGCCCATGATCGCGTTCAACACGACTGCATTTGTGTTTGCAGCTGTTGCGGCAGAACGCTGATACTAGGTGTGCTGGCAGGCTGTCTAGCAACCGGGAAAACCGGGAATTGTCAGGGAAATGATATACGCCGGGAAAAATCAGGGAATCGTCAGGGAATGTTGCCAAAAAGAGAACCCAGTCGGGGAAAATGACTCGCGACTTGTTCCCAGGCACGGAGCGCGCACTCAGCTCACCGTAATTGGTGCAAACAGCCAATGGGGACAGATCCAATCCAAGCCAGTGGGGCAGTAGTGCCAAGGTTGACAAGTTTGGCCTTTTTTTTTCTGTGGCCTGGCAACCTTGAGCAGTGCGCGCTGGGCATGCTGGCTATACACTTTCGTTGTTTTGGACCACCTCTTCTGTCCGCCATGTTTTGAACGACGGAACCTTCCCGTGGCGGTGTGTTTTCATCGTTTTTTTTCTGAAGAGAAGCCTTCTCACTGACGATGTCGGCGGCGAGAAAGTGCTCCTTTAATTCGGACTGAACGAACCCGAACGTTTCGGAATATGCAAGCTGGATTAAGCCCGTGCAGAATGATCCTCACAGTGCTCATTGCACACTGTGCTGCAAAACGTTTTCTTTAAGCAACATGGGAGGAACTGCAGTTTCCAGTCACGCGTCCAGCAAGAAGCATCTTGCTGATTTGAAGTGTCGGTCGAGCGCCTCGCAAACTGGTATGTTGTCCTTTTTTACGCCAGCGACGAACGCTTCGGCCAAATGTAGCGAAGAACGGACAGTCGCGCCCGAGGAGCCTGCCCCCACCACAAGTGCGAAGACATCGATGAGCGGCTTTCTTCTGAAGAGCGCTGTGACAAAAGCCGAAATAATGTGGTGCTTAAACGCGGTAGCGACTCGCGGATCTTTTCGGTCAACAGCGGCGTCGGCCTCGCTCTTCCCTCTCATGTTTCCGGGATGTGAAGTCGCTGAAAAACTTCATCTAGGGAAGGACAAGGTAGGGTATTCGATTTGCCACGGTATTGCGCCTTACTTTCGTAAGAATCTTCTATCAAGCCTTGCCGGTGTGCCATTCTTAGTTGTTTGATTTGACGAGTCACTGAACAAAGTGACCCAGAAGCAACAGATGGATGTGCTCGTCCGATATTGGGATGACACTACTGATGGCACTGTGAAAACGCAGTACCTAACTTCATGCTTTTTGGGGCACACGTGTGCGGAGGACCTGGCATCTGCATTCAGGAAGGCCACAGAAGAGCTCAAGCAAGCTAAGATACTACAAGTTTCAATGGATGGGCCGAATGTGAACATGAAGTTCCTGAGGTCACTGAAGAAGGAACTCAAGGAGTTGGATGAGAGTCACAATATCCTAGATATTGGAAGTTGTGGACTGCACCTAATGAATGGAGCATACAAGGCAGGTCATGCTGCAACTGGCTGGGATGTGATAGGCTTTCTTCGCAGCAGCTACAACTTGTTCAAATGTGTGCCTGCACGTCGTGCTGCCTACGTCACCTTTACAGAAAGTGCACTATTTCCCCTCAAATTCTGTGCTGTCGGGTGGCTCGAAAATGGGAAGGTAATCACCAGGGCGTTAGAACTTCTTCCTAACCTGGTGAAGTTTGTGGAGGGCTCTGTAAAGGCAAAGAAGCAGCCTACATGCTCTAGCTACAGTGCTGCTGCGAACGCAGTGATGGATCAGCTGTTGCCAGTAAAACTGGCCTTCATGCTGTCAATTTGTGAGGAACTGGAGCCATTTTTGGCAGAATTTCAGACTGACAATCCAATGGTGCCCTTTCTTTCAACTGCACTGCACAATATACTGCGGTCACTGCTTGCAAGGATTGTCAAGAAGGAAGTGCTTGTTGCTGCAGACGCACCCACGAAGTTGCTCAAGATTGACTTAGAGAAGCTTGAGAACTGTATACCCGTACCTACCTTCGACATTGGGTTCGCGGCGAAGAATGAGCTCCGCAAAGTGCCCAAAATTCCAAAGCTTACTTTGCACCAATTCAAGAAAGACTGTGTTTCCTTTGCTAAAGCGTGCTGTCAGAAGGTGGTGGAGAGGTCACCATTGAAGTACAAGCTAACAAGGGGTGCCAGCTGTTTGGACCCCACATTTGCATTGTCTACGGAGGCTGGCCCAAAACGATTGATCCTGGCACTTGAAGTGCTGTCAGAGCAGCAGTGGATGACTGGTCTGCAAGCAGAGCGGGCCCATCGTTCTTACATAGAGGTCTGTTCATCGAGCCTCAACCAAGAAAAATTTAAAAATTTTGACAGGAAAGAGCAGAGGCTGGACGTTCTGTGGCCAGATCTCTGCTCACATGATCACAAAGAGCTCCTGTCTTTTATCAAGATCATCCTTTCTTTGTCTCACGGCAACGCTGCCGTAGAAAGAGGCTTCTTGGTCAACAAAGAATGCCTCGTCGAAAACTTGAAAGAAGACTCGCTGATAGCACGACGACTGGTGCATGATGCCGTGTTGGCGGCAGGCGGCGTGGAAAAAGTTCTAATTACTGACAAGATGCTGCAGATGGTTCGGAATTCCTTCAGCGTCTACAGCGTCAAAGAAGGCAGAAAGACGAGTGGAGTCAGGTGTTCAGAAGAACAAGAAAAGAGTGGCTGCTCTTGTCAAAGAACTGGAAGAAAAGAAGCGAAGGCTGCTTAGTGACTCGCTGACGGAAGCAAGAAAAAATAGATGCTCTTAGGAAGTAACAGATGAGTGCTTCAAGAACTCTTGTGCAGTGGCTGACACAAACAGCAGAAGCCGATGTGTGTTTGCATAGACTTTGTGCAATAATACTCTAGTCAGCGACTACAATTTGCGGTGAATTATTTATGTTTGCGCTCTAAATAAAACAAATAAAAGTTTATCCAATCCAATCTAAATAAAACAATGTTTTGTCGTCTGCACTAATGATCTTACATGTATTGCCGCCAATGCAGAGGTCAGGGAATTTCACTTGAAATTGTCAGGGAAAACCTGGAAAAGTCAGGGAACAATAATAATAATTCAGGGAATAATAATAATAATAATAATTTGCTAGACACCCTGGCTGGGACTAGTTTTGTTTCTAGCATGACGTCAAAAACATATGGCGGGTGTTCTTGCCTGCTGCGGCCCGCACGTGCATGAAACCCACCGGCAACATCATGGGGCTTGGGCGATCTGTTGCCGAGCATCTCAGTGGCGATAAATTTGGCGAGATGTGCGTGTGGTGACAGAAAGAGAGTCTCTGATGAAGACACGTTTGTTGAAATGCGGTCATGTGCTCTGAATGCCACGAGTTGTAAAGAAATGGCCGAGTTGATAGCAGAATTTTTCGGCAATCCTAGGCAAGTTTCTTTTCCTTACGGGGTGGTACTCGCGAAAACTTCGTTGAAGCATAAATACCCTTGATTATTCTTTGTGACGAGACATTTTCACATTGTTTTCTATGGGCGTCTGAAGGGGAATTGAAAGTTACTCGTTGTGGCAGAAATTTCGTTGTAGTGGACTTCGTTATAGCGGGATTCGACTTATTTATTCCCGGTAAGCTTCAGACTTCTTAATGTTTATCGTCTATGTAATATTTTGACCACATTTGTGCACTTATACCATATCAATGGCACCTAGCTGTTAGGTTCCACTCTCTAATCAGTAAAAACAGACTACGTCGCATTCTAGATGAGATGGAATTAATGCAATAAGCCCCGATACCATTTTTGGCCGACAGAGCCATCATGCAAAAAGTACTTTAAAATTCACACCAACATATCAGCACTCGCTATGACAAAAAGATGCTCAATGGTGACTTATATATATTTTTTAATTTCTATCAACAAGCCTATGCTTGTGAACTTAACAGCAGTAGAGGACTCACTAAATCAGTTTAGACTGATAAATTATTCCCCAACTCTTTTGTACTTAAATTCACACTCAAAGGTTCATTGTTAGAAGTGAAAATAAAGCTAGAAAATTTAGTTTTTAAAAATATTTTTTCTTTCAAAACTAAGAAATTTTGGGGTATAATTTTATTATGGCTGCATTGGCTCAATAAGTATTTCTCCAACATAACATGGTTTGTTCTTGATAAATTTGTTTTGCCATTTCAATTTCTAAAGTCAACTTGAAGATACTTTGAACAATTGAAAACCAGTAGTGTACATCTGACTGGCTTTTGCTAGTAAAAAAGAGTTTTTTATCGTTTCCATTGAGATTTTAAAAAAGGACTGCATACTTTGGAGAAATTGAAGCTTTAATAGCGACCTAATCTAAGCTGTTTTATGCAGCTGTGGCACTGCGTGAAAGTTAATTTTTTCTGTTATTGCTACAAAAGGATAGTTGCACAGCCAAATATGGTGAGTAGTATAACTGAAATATCCATGCATGTGTGTTTTATTTCAGAATGTGATAAAAGTGCCTCCCCAGACTTGGAAGTAAGCGGTCACACAAGCAAGCTGGGAACCAGTCCACAAATCAACAAATTCCTCACAAGGGAGCCCCCCGATGGTTGTGAGAAGGTGAAGATCATTGATGAAGGAAGGTGGGTACACAGAACATCGGGGAAAGTGAGTCATCCCTGGAATGTAATCAAGTGGCTTTTTCCTATTGTTGCCTGTAGTTGAAGATAAGTCCTTGGTAGCCGGGCTTTCCATTATTCTATGTTTTCCTCTTGCCAATAGACCTGAGCTTATTGAGAGGATGAGTGTTCAGGTCTTTGATGTTAGTGCCTAGGGTCCATAGTTGTGCTTTGCCAGGAATAGTGCTAGTGGTTAAAGCAAATGGAATTGTTCCACTGGTTCTTACATACATGTTTGCATATTACAGGGTATGATTCATTGAATAGAACTATCTTGCTTCTGAGAGCTTCTTGAGCATGGCTGATCAGCTGGAATTTGCAGGATTAGAACAGTGAAAACACAGGCAATATTCGGTGACTTCTGAGCTAATATTGCAGCAGTTAATTTATGATAATTTGCTATGTTGACATTTCAAACTATTCTTGTAACTTCACGACTTGAGGAGAGTCTGGCCTTTGTTGCAAAATCAATTTGTCACTTCTAAACTTAGCTCGTCGCTACATTAATGGGAGAATGGCCTGATTCCTGGTTTTTCTTTAAGGATATGAATGTCAATAAAAAATCGCTTGGTCATTTCTGGTAAAATTCTCAAGACAGCTTGTGCCTGCACCAAGAGGCAAGTGTTGGGTATAAGCTTTGATAGCAGTGGTGTTTCCCAGCCAACCTGACTCTTTTTTTGTACAGTGGGCAGCATCCTCACATGTGCTTAATGTGATACCTCAAGTGTGATAAGGGTAGGGGGGAGAATAGTGGCTCACAGAACAAAAAGACGTAATACACCCCTTTGTGCCTGCATTTCAGGAAGCCTGCAACCAGCCCTCTAATGGGCGATGGTACCGAAAACGTGCTCAAACCGAGCTGCCAGTTTGTGCTGCGGCCCAGTCAGAGCTCGGCCTTCTGCCCACTTGTGCGGAATCCCTTCCAAGGGGTGCATAGGCAGGGGCCTATTGTTGACCCTTTCCTGCTCAACGAGAGGCTCCAGTGAAAGAGCTGGCACCTTCTCTTCTCTGACCAGCCCCAGCGAGATGCCATGGAGAGGGTGGCCGAACGGAGCCGCAGGAATGCCTCCCACTCGTTTTCACCCGTGTGCCATTGCTGCAGTGGCTATCATATTTGGCACCCTTGGCTGCAGACCTTCTCTCCGACTCCCACTGTGACACAAGCGATAATGCCGACATCGTCTCTCGATTTGCTGTTCAGCTCTTTGTTTGTTCGCCTCTTCTTGGAAGGAAAGGGAGTCTGCTTTATTGCCTCGGCTGTCCTTTTTATTCGTCAGGCAGAGCAGCTGTTTTATTGCCAGCAAGAGCACAATTTTATCGCATGGGATGAAGGTTTCAATCCAAGGCTCACTGGCAGCTGTTTTGGCACGGTAATTTTGTGAAACTGTTGTGTGTCATTGTAATTTGGGCGGCAAGAAGTAAGTGCATATGCCCGAGTTAGTTTCTCTATCTGCCTTCTTTCTCATATGGCAGCTAGCTATGTGTACATTGTTATGCATTTGTGTGGCCTCGGACTGGAAGAAATTTTGCGGGTTTTACAATGCAGGTTCGAGCTACGCTTAGAGGAAGAAGAGTCCTTAGCTGAAAGCCTGTTTAGCCTCTTGTGTTTTTTGTGGCAACTGCCGTGCCCATTTGTTGTAGTAATATTAGCTAATATGTGGGACTGGGCTCTAATCGCGACTCTTCCTTTTTTTTTTTTTTGTTCGTTTAGGCAGTTTAGTTGGTCATCAGAAGTTGTGAAGCAAGTGTTCTTTGAATTTTGTTTTCATAATTTCACTTATGATTATTTCACTACAGTTCTAACAACATACTCCGACACTTTTTTAATAAGCCCCGCGTGAGACTTTCCTTTCTTTTTGTATTTAGTATGTTCCTGAATTTCAGGCGTACTATTTAAAGTTCAATGCACTCACTCCTCCCTTTTTGAAGGCTCTGAGTGGCAACCAGCAAATGTTTCACAAATCGTTGTGGTTTCGTGCGCTTTTTCCTCACACTTTTTTAGTCTTCCTTCTTTTATTTATTCCTCATTTGTAAGGGTCAAGTGAATTTCAATACACCTCCTGGCTTCTTTTTTGCCTAAGGTTGCCAGGCACTATGCTGTTATAAGAATAAGGATTCACATTGTTATTGATGTGCATGACACTTTATACTTTGGAAAAGAACAAAGCCAATTTTTTTTTGTGTGCATCTCGGAGAAGAACGTCTTACAAGGCCAACAGTATGCCGACTGAACCGCTAGATTCACTATTTGCCTAAACCATACGATGACACATAACTTGCCATGTCATGTTCATGATCAGCATGCATTGGGACTAACTCAAATAGGTGGTTATCAGGGCTCCATCGACTCATGTATTTTTGTGGCGTAGTGCATCAAAGGCAGATTTGCTGGGAACTCCATTTTCTTTGACAGATATTTCTTTGTTCTAGTTTCTAGAAAGGCAAGAAACATACGAGCTTCAAGCCTCTAAATATTTCAGGCCATCTTTATCATCCCCTGTGGTCCAAAATGAAAGCATTGACAATAAGGATGATTTTTACTACTGTGCGCACAAAAATTATGCGGTTTGAAATTTTCTTTCCATTGTCAGGACGATTTCACAAACCATAGTAACATATGCCTCTAAATGCTTTTCTAAGAGAGATGTGCAAATATATTGAAGCACTTTGAAAAGAATGTCACCAACTGTTATAGAGCCAATTTCATTTCTGTCTTTTTGTGGAGTCATAATAAGTTTCTTTATTGGTTACCTATAAGTAAAGAAAATAATTTAAGCCTAATTATTTTTGGAGTTATTTCAAATATAATTAAAAATGCAATTGATTGTTGTCACAGCTATTAGTGATTGGCTTAGTTGTTATTTGGAGGCTTCCGGCCTCCTTTGATTACATAGCGGCAATCAAAATTTCAAAGTTTGTAATCCCTTTATATATAATACTGTATTGGTGAGATAGGCTTTATTCACTTATTTGGCACTTTTCAATAAACATTAAAGCAGCATTCCTTTGCCACGTTCTGCCATGTATTGGAACAAACAGTCTTGCGTAGCAGCGTTGTGCTTTCTGCATTGGATGAGTAAGCGAGGTCGGATGATGTTGGAAATGATGCCTATGGTATAGGTTTTTTGTGCAAGTGACCTTGATCCTCGCTCAAAGCGTGACTGCCTCACGATGAGCAGGTAGCGAAGTTGCAACAGATTCTGCTCAGTGTAGCCATTTCCTTTTGTGGTCATGATTGGAGCCACCCGATCAACTCACTGTTTTTTTTTTTTTTTTCAATATCCGAACCAGAATGTGTGTCAATTAATTGCTCTTCATTGTTTAGTATTCTGACGAAGTGTATTTTGTCACCTTTAATTAGCAGATAGATGTTTGCTTAATAAAGGCTATAGTTGAGAATGTATAGCTGTAATGTATTGGCTGTGGCCTAAAAAGACTGTTCCATTTTTTTTTCTTGTTTCACAAAAAAATACCACTTTAAATGTTCGTGGTGCATTTTGCCTCTGCTGGGAGATCTAAGGGTTAAGTTATTACTAAATCTATTATTCAGGATTGGCGCTTGTGGATTTCGTGTAGGCCTATGTGGTAGCTTATATTCTTTTACTTGTTCTCGTACTAGTTTCTAGTTTAACTTACTTGAGGAAATCGGGTTTTAAGGAGGTCCTGAACCACTTTTCCAATATAATCATAGATTGACCTAAGTGTTGGAGTTTATTGCCTCACAAACTGATTGCTGCAGAAATTTATTAATCCATCAAGTGCATGGGTGTCAGCTGGATTTTGTCTTGAGGTGGGAAAATTAGCATTGCATAAAGATGGGGGAAAGTGGAGGGTGGTGCACTGAGTCAGCGGCAGTGATGATGTGGCTGGCTTTGGGGGGGGGGGGGGGGGGGGGGAAGTGGCCCCTTTGCGCCCCCTGCCCACGCCCATGGTGCACACTTTAAGCACATTTTCTCCACTTTGGTCCTAACAAGCTACATGGAGAAAAATGACACGGGGAAAGGAGGCTACTTGATGTGCTTGTCATGAAACATGCTCGCTCGCTTTAAGGCGCAATTTTGAAGCATTACAGCATTGCAACCATGTAATTTTAGAGGCTACAGAGTGTGATGACCGGTGCGCTCTGGCACCCCTTGGTGAGAAGTGCATCTGATCCAGACGGTGCTCTTTGTTCATGCCAGCTATCGACCAGTAGTAGCACCCTCTCTATATGAAGAGAGGGTGCTATATGAAGTGAGGGGTGGTTCAGGACCACTTCAAAAGATTTTCACTCCTTACTATGTTCATACTGTTTGTAAAACTGCATTTCGTTGCAAAGAATATCTGTACATTTTACTGAGTAAAACAGCTACAAGGAACCGTATACTACTATTGTCCGACTTGAGCTTTGCTTTCATTAGATGTTCACGGGAGGTCATAAACTTGGGGCATAAGTTGTTCTCTAGCATTTAATGTCTTGGAACTGAAATGTTAGAAAAAGCAGTGATAATGAGAAAAACGAGATTCTTTGAGACGCATTATATTTGATGTTTGGGCAAAAAAGAACAATGTTGGAGGGTAGATTGTTGGCCTTGTTGACGTAACATGTTCATGAAGTTAAGCGCGGCACTGTCCTCGTCATTTCCGTGCCGTGCTCAACTTTATGAACAATTTTCAGTCTGTTGCCTCCTCTGAGCTTGTTGGCGCCCTCTATTTATCACTAGCAATGCCTTCTTTTTCATAAAAGATTTGTGGTAAATTCAACGATTGAATGCATTTGAGAAGTTAGTTGAAGCCTACATTTTTAACATAAAAGATTAGGTGACTCATTTGGGTAAGCAAATGTTGTCTCAGCATTCCTTAATGCCAGGTCCTTTACTCAAGTAAAGAGAATGGCACATGCGCAATGCTTGTTTTTCGCTCTTCATGCTTGTGTCTTCTTCGTTACTTGTAGCTATACTTGTATACTCTTTATTTGCATTATGGAACATTCTTTACTCTCCTTGAGTTGAGCCAGGTCTTTCTGTAAATGAACATTGAGCTTTATTCTTGTAATCAGTGAATATTTTTTGTGAATGTCATTTGTATAAAATTGTTAGCCTCATTAGGACACCATTGCCTCTTTAGCTTGGACCTAAGAAAATAGGCCCAGTTCTTTAGTTTACGTTTGCAATATCTTACAAGAGCAACTCGTAGGTTTTGCTTTGAGGGAAAGGAGAGCATGATAAAGCTTTGGTATTCTGCATACTTTGCATGGTTGTCTTGCAAATTGATGTCTACGTGGCTCTTTAATTTAAAGTATAGAAAATGTTTCCACATTTAAAACTTCTAAAAAAGTCACCATTTACATGTTTCTAGTCTTCCCTCTGATTTCCACTGTTTTCCTAGCAGAAACTTGTGAAGCATTCATTGAACTTTTATAAATACTGAGGGTGCATAAGAAAATTATTATGTTTTGTAAAGTTCGTTTGCTTTTGTGTTGTCTTTTGGTATGTGTTAAAATGTATGCACTTTGCAAAAATGGTGCATAATGATTATATAAACCATTTTCTTGTTACAATCATTTATATCAGTTAATATGCTTCTGTAATATTACTTTTTGCTTGTTTTATTTCTGTGTGAATATCCAAAGAACCTTAGCATTTAATTTTGTTGCATAACTAGTTATTGCACACCATAAAATTAACAAAAAAAATTACTCTATGACCTTAGTAGCGGTCTATTCTATTCCTTTTGTTTTTTTCCTTTTTCGATTTCTTTCCTGCTGTAACCAGTTTTTCCACTTGTTTCAAAAGCTTGTAGCGCATAGTATTCTTCAGCAAAATACTAGATTACTTGCATAACTTAATACGGTGTAGAATAGCATATGTTAAGTTGAACAGACTTGTGGGCTTTCATTTTGTACTATGAATATTTAAATATTCTACTGCTATTGTGCCTGCTTGTTTAGTCTTACTGGATAAAAACATACAATCAAACGCCTGTAAAACAACTTCTCCTCTTATTTTAATTTACAGTATCTGGACCAGTTTCTCAAAAATGGGGGCTTGCTAGATATTCAGAGGCCTGGTGAGGGTGCCATCTCTTGAATTATGCACCTTTCTTAGGTACTGTACTATGTAGGGTGCTCTATTTTATACATGTTTCATTGCTTCACAGCCAAGTTTTACGTTAGGACATTTGCATACACCGATGATGCAGTGTCGTTGAGCTGTTACTTTGTGCCTTTCATTGCTTTGGCTGTCGGCTATCGAAGCAGGGTACACAGGTGCTGGCTGTGTTTGGCAGCTTCTGTAGTAGTCTGTCCTTGTGTCAGTTGCCGTTTACCAAGTTGGCAATCGCGTGAATCCACTGTCTGCACATGTGCTATGTTAAGAAATTTTCCAGTATAGCAAGGGGCCCAGTTTCACGAATGTCCTGTCATTCAATAGCACTTCCCATTTGTACAGTCAAGTTTCAAAGCAAGTGTCCGTGGCTACTGTGAAGAACATTGTAACTATGTTTCCAAATACCAGTACATGAACCTGCTTTGCTTCTCATCTTGTGTTGCATGATGGGCATTATTATGACTGAACTGACATTCCAGTCTGAACTGTGGTCTGCTTAGATAAGTTTCGCATGTATGGTCTGTCACTCACACTAGAGAAAGCAGTTTTTCTACAGATATACAGAAAAGAAAGGAGCGTTGAGTAGTTGTGAATGACAACTTTCGTTTTTCTTTGGAAGGACAGCAGTAGTGACGTACCCTGCTTTGTCATGAAAAATGACGATGGATTCACTATATTGCCTTAATAGTATTAAAACTGGCAGATTCTTTTTCTCATGCACCATTTATGTTTACTCTGGTGATTGACACTGTGTACATTTAAGTGATGCAAAACCTTTGAATGGCAAGCAGAAATTGTGTGGTTAAATATTGTTGTACTGAAGCGAATGTTTGCACTTGCCAAGCGAAATGAGTTTTGCAAGAGCTATCCTGTGGCTTCTGTTTTGTCTGTTCGATTATCGACGGTTGCATCGTACGCTGTTGATGACCAGCTTTGGCTGTGATCATGCGACCAATTCTCACTGAATTGGAACTGAAGACACGACTTTTAACATGTCTATGTGCAGTGGTATTTTGTAACCAGAGAATGTGCTTGCTGACGAGCTTATTGCTGTATTTTGATTTTTTTTAATTTCCAGTGTTACTGAGAAACACAAAAGCTAGAAAACAACAAAAACGTCATTTGAATGGCCATCAAAGCTGACTAATGTCCCCAAACCTGATTAATAGCGCATTGCTTGCATGTCTCGAGTTGATTGTGACCTGCAGATTTTTTGGTGTTAGTCCAGCCAACTGTCGATCTGACCCAGCGGCTTGGTGGCCATGTTCACCTGAAGTTGTAGGTTCGATTCCCAAGAGTAGGTGCTGCATCCCATTTGGTGCAGAATGCAGAAACATCTTTGCGCTAATTGTTCTGCGTAATGGATCACCTGGTGCCCTCAAATTCACCAGGTTCTGCTTGCAGCTTCTGGGTGTGAGAATTAACTGTGACATTTTTTTTTAAAAGGTCGCTTCTCCTGCTGCTGCTGCTGCCCTTTTGGTATGTGCTGGCTTTTTGTGAAGTTGTTAGTACTTTTAGTACTTTGAGTCACTGTGTGCATGTATGTGTGTTTGTGCATTGGTTTTCCCGATGCTGGAAACAGGAGAACATGTCTCGTAGCTGCGTTAGACTCTTAGCATGCTGCAAGTACCGTGCGATACCATTATCGCGGTGGGAATGTAGTCTAGTGAAAAAGGAGTTTTTCTCGGTGAAAGTTGTAAAAAGAAAGAAATTGACAAAAAACTTGTACCTGAAGAAAAGAATGGCAGAAGAAGGTGGTCTTCTCCTTTTCTTTCATGTAAATATTGAATGTTATATAGTACATGTTATATATATTATATACATGCCCTGTATGCGACGACATCTGTCAGGCATCTTTTCCTATTCTTTCTAACAGAACGGTCAGCTCTCTTGATGAGAGTCGAGTTTTTTGTTTGTGTACTTTTGTATAATATTAGTTGTTTGTGTTCTTATTTGTTGCAATAGTCCATAAACAGCAGCACCTTGTTCCTGTATTCATATTTGTAACAAGATGTATGTCTGGTTGAGCTTAGTTTATGTAAAGGTTATCGGACGTGAATACAAGGGCGCTCTCTAAGAGGGATATTCTCGTATGGTCTTGAATGCTGCTGCTTTTTTATTTCCCAATGGTGGAACCATTTTAGATGTGCATTGTTGTTACAAACAATGCAAGCACATAGCAAGATGCTGCTTAAGTTGATGATGCTCCTGGCTATGACATCTGCCTTGCGATGTTTGGTGCTGTTCTCATAAAAACAGGAAATGTGAGAAAAGTGGGGTGAGCG